CATCGTCTCATGAAATGATAGGCAAAACATTGCGATTACTCCGGTTACGTTGAAATCGAGAGGATATCATGTGTATTCACACAAAAGAATTAAACAAACCATGAGAACGTGAAACGGTTCAACTCATATAAATGCACTTGCCATTCCACCTATACATTCTTCGGACTATCATCAGATGTGTTTGTAAGTGGCTTAGAATTTGTTTTTTTTTTTGCTAAAGCAATTTCTTATCCTACCTAGAATGCGAGAAAACGCGTAACATGTTATTGCACAATTGAATTTTGATATATTCTTTAAAGTTAATGAATTGCAATGAGATCGCACGGCTTCATATGAAACGCAATTGCTTCCGTTTCATTATAAGAATGATAAGAATTAAGAGAGTTTATCGTTTAATCTTCAATTCGCTTCGCTTTAGCAGACAGCCATTGGCGAGAATGCAAATTTATTCAGATCATCTTTCTTAATTCCTATTGACAGTCTGTCTCTTTCTTTTCGTTATTTGGTTTGGAATTGCATTCTTTTTTGCTCCAATGTCCATAAATATTATATATCATGTAATTGATTTATATTCTACATCACACAGGTGGTACAGGGTACATTAAATTTGTACGGATGAACACAACACAACACCGGACAGATCTTAAGATGAATCAAAGTTTTATTGTGCTCATCGATGCTACAGGATATATTATGGTTGTGCGGACGATTGCGACAGCCAGACGACGTTGAATTATATCAACCTTGTCGTACACCGATCAATTCAGAATAATCTTCTGAATCGTTGTAAACTTCGCTGCCCAGCTGATGTCTGTTCATATATCCTTGTGTTTAACCTAAATTGCGCAATTTTCGAGACATTTTGATGAAATTTGGTAGACTGACGGGTTTTGATCCCAGGACGATTACTGTCGAAAATGGTTCAGATCGGTCTACTTTTTCGACTATTCTCCCTATAATATCTTATTTTAAAAAGTCGTTACATGAATAACTGAATTAAGTGAAGTGCTACAGCGTGTCTAATGATGGGCCATATTCCACGATCATGTTTTCACTTGTTTTGTTTTCTCTTTTCTTTTCTAAATAATTTATTTATATGCATTACTCATAGCCAAGATTAGCGCGTTCTAAGAACAGAGGTGATCCCAATCAGTTGCATTTGATCTGAATTCAAATTCGAAATAGTGAAGTAAATCAATAAATACCTCAGTAAGCCGCATGATATAGGTTTTCGAGACTTGGCCTAAAGAATTTAAGCATATACCGCGCATTACAGAATGATTGACATGAATGTAATGAAAATAATTACATATCTATCTCCAACGCAATCCATTAAAAGGAAATTAATGTCCACGTTGTGTTACGGTACCAGTCCACGTTAATCATTGTTGTACATTGTTTTAACACTATTACGTATTAAGTAAGTATTTATTTGGAAGAAAAAAATTCAAAGTCATCCCACAATTGTAAGAACATGCAGACATAAGACATTTTGTAGAGAGAAAGCTTTCTCAAATATATGAAATTGACGCCCACTTCGCCATATATATACTCATCCCATTTGCTGGCGCAACTATTCGCGTAGCGAACATAAACCGAACAAGAGAAAAGACGGTCTTAAAGATCCATTAGCTCGGTCAAATATGCGAAAGCGGTCAGATATTCATTTTTGGAGCAAAAAAATTCAAATCAACTTTTTTGCTCCATATAGCGAGTTGCGCATACAAAATTTTCATAATTCTCAATTAATGTAAATTGTTTAAGACATCAATTTATTTTACATTTAAACATTGCAAGTCTCTACTAAGAAAATCATTATATGGTACCTCGTTCATCTTTCGGGCAAAGACCTACGGAAGATCGTATATAAAAAAAGGTTTTTCCTAAGAAAAGAACATTTCGCTTTTTTTTTTCTTTCCCTAGAAGAATTCTCAATACAAAATTGTTCACTGCTCAGTATGTGCGTTCGCTATTGGATTTGATTATTCTATATATAAATATATATTTTAATATATAAATCATACATGTATACTTAAATACATGAGCATAAGATAATTCTAGTCTGAGGCTTACAATGTTTGTAGCGAACATTGCACAAAAAAGACTTTCATATTTCTATCAAAACAACCGTACATGCATACATATTAGCACAGCATTACGTATAATGTATAGATGCGAGCGTATGGTATGAAAATTGCTTATAGCTTATGTTACTGTATAGTTAGTTTTTATCATTTTAAAGCTCAAAATAGATTTCTGCCGAGTTATTTATAAAAATTCTAAAGTTCGACTTCGTTTATTGCGCATTTATTGTTTGTGAAATTCGGTTTAACACAACCTAAGCTAATTATTATATTTAATTATTTGTTTTCCACATTCACATCGCTGAAGAATAAGAGCCTTCCTGATATACATATATATACATATATATTCTATTCAGAAATACGCCTCAGGGGTCCCAAAAACTTAATAAGTCTATAAGCATGTTTGTCTGCCCATCCGGGTGACCTTCTGTTAGCCTATCTATCTGTCGACTTTTTTGACAAGTCTACATAAGAAGTTCGAATATGTATACACTCGTGATAACTGTCCAACATCGCCTCTACCACAAGCGAAAAGATATATCTTACAATTTATAGTGTATGTTGATACGAAGCTCTGAATATTATCTACAGCAGACAGGGTCCTTTGGTGAACAGACCTACAATCGATAAAAAAACGTTACTTGCAGCCCATAAGAAGGACTGATCTAAAACCAGATAAAACTATGTCTTAGGGCTAATCAAATGAGCAAAGTAAAATTCTCTCAATCGGCAAACGCTCTAACACGCTCACGCTTGATAATTTCTCTCGCAACTGGAAGGTATCGGTTCGAAATGATTGGTACGACAGATTGGTCTCAAAACGAATACAATTTTCTTACTTGCTTCTCATGACTTGTTTTTTGCTTATAAGTATTATATTAAGAAAGAACAGTCAAAAAAAAAAAAAAAGAAGAGAAGATATTGCAGAAAAGCGAATTTGATCCTTAGAGATCGCTACCATTGAAAACAACTTTACCTAATAAAACTCTTCATTCAGCTTGTTTTCATGTAGAGACTTATTTTTCATGGAATACCTTGTATAGGAGCACGTGAGCATGTAACACGTGAGCTGACGTGATCAAAATTGAGTAAATTTAATTCTTTGGCAAAGATTTTATTATTGTTTATCCATTTTCGTCACAGAGTTGTAAGAATTACACTTTGTCGCCATGCCAATGCTGATTTTCATGAGAATCCTTGTATGAAATGGTTTTCCCGATAAACCTATGTGGTCCAAATTGGCAGTGAGGTTTTGGTAAGTTAACGGTCATCACGCTGTCAACGCATTACACGTTTTCGGAGACTTTCTCATCGCCGAGTATAGCCATCGATCTGCTGATATTACCGGTATACACATCGAACTGCATATCGGCTTACTTTCGTGCCACTTGGATTTCAATTAGTGCAATCACTTGAGACGCTGCTTCCGGTACGATGTCCATTTTCTTATTTTAAACAGTCTCGTATCCAATAGGCAACGTTTCAGATAGCGGGTTGGTATGCAAATGATGTCATCTCAATCAATATTGATCCGTTTAGACCTGCTCAAAATCCCGAAAACAGCGCCTCCTTTAACGAAAGATTTTAGACATGTCTATTGCTTTATTGCTCGTCTAAAAATTTGGGGTAAGGATAGGGAAAGGGTAAGCATTTTGCGTTTTTCAAAAGCTAACAGTGTCTACTTTAGTTTAATTTAAGTTATGTATGCAAACTAAATTTAATTTATCAAGAATCAAAGTGAAAATGTAGGAAGTGCGCGATCGAAAAATAAGGCGGATTTTCAAATTTCCTGGGCTACCTAGATTCGATATTTGAATTTTTTTTGTTATGTTATTACACATCACAGATTGCAGGACGCAATAATAATAATAATACGCTTAACAATAATACGCACCGTTTCAATGAGAAGTGTATCGCGAACGCCACCAACAACAGCAAAAGTGTGATTCAACTATCCCTTTCCCCAAAAAGAACTGTGGATTTTTTGTTCGTATTTTTATGCAGGAACTTGCCAGTAGAGCCGGTGTTAAACTTAAAAATTTATTTATTTATGTTGGATCCGAGCTTAGTGAAAATAATTGCGTAAGCTGTCTATCTCTTAATGATGTCAACATGTCAGCAAAGTAAAAGAAGACTATCTCCAAATCCTGTTAATCGAGATTAATGAAAGCTATCACCGATAGCCTGGTGAAGAATTCTACGACGTCACTTTACAACTTTCGACAAAGCTTGGCGCTGCAAGAAAGATTTCTTCAGAATATTGTTGACGCATACGTTGAGCTCAGAAAGATCTTGCCAAATTGCTCCATGATGCACAAGGGAAGGTAAGAGTTATCTGGATTCAATCGATTTTAAACGGGTATAATACTAAAAGTGATGATCTGGTTACTATCGAAGAAACCACCGAAATTCTGAAATTCAATGCCCAAATGGCGACTTCATGGTAAGTTGCCGGAAGCCTATTCATATTTAAAACGACTATAGCTAGTTATGTTGTGGAATAAGGACAAATGTGTCAAAAAGCCACTCTATGAACTTTCCTGATGTTGTTAAGATTCGGGTTAAAAAGTCTTGTAATATTAAATATCTGCCAAAGATTTTGTTCGCCTTGTGAGGTTGATATTTCTTTCGAAAGACTGATTATACTGGATCAGACACTATTTAAACACTATTTGCACGCGCTAACTATGACTGGAAAATCAAATGTCTAAAAACAATTACATAAAAGCCGGGTTTAATATGTTAAAGATAAGGGAAACGGAGATACCTGGTATTTACCATTCCATCGAGAAAATTCAAAAAAATAAAATCCCTTGATTCCTGCGAACGCATTTTCCTCTCAAGCTATATACATTGTATATACATAATAGCATAGCATAGCGCGACTCTGATACGGATCCGTAAAGTTCCTTTCTCTTACAAATGGCAGTTTTTGGTGTCAAGTTTACGATGCTTGTTCTAAAAATATTTGGAAATTTAATTTGTAAATTCAATTGAAACTATTGAAAATAATTATTGCTTAGAAAAGAAAGCAAAACTTCGAGAAGACGTATTTGACTACATATTATTTCATACTTATATAAAATAGTTTAAAAACAAAATCTCGAGATTAATAATAGCATATAGATATGAATTGAGCGAAAACATGTATTTTGAAATGTCTGCTAAAAGAAAAAAAAAACAAAAAAAAAAAAAAGCTCAATAATATAACTTGGGCTCCTTTGTTTATATATGTAAATCGAGTGAAATCCAGACGATTCAAGTTTAATTATTGCTTCTTACGCACGATATTTTTTATAGGGGTTTTATAATTGAACACGATCACACATATAAGCCATCAAAATAAAAAAAAAAATAAATAAATGAAAAAAACAGAAACGTTGAATATCATTAGTGTATCTCTTTGCATTGCCATTTCATTTCTTTTCAGCACAAACTGAAGGAATAACAATGGTAGCGGCGAGCAGTGAAAGAGCGTGTAAGTGGAATTTCGATTTGGCTCGCTTCATATTGTTGTTTACGTTTAATACGTCGAATATACGATTTATATATGTATTTTAGATACATACATGTATATATATATATATATATATATGCATGTTGTTTTTAGCTGGTTTTAGCCGGGTCTACTTACATATGTGTATACTAAAAGGTATATATTATATATGCAGACACACCTTTTTGTCAGCGTTTATTGTTGTTTATTGCATTCGAGATTTTTATACTCGTACGCTTCGCTAATGCAGCAGGTATATTAATTTTCTCATTCCATTTCTAATATCTGCATGAGTTATACAAGTTGTAAAGTTGGCAGTGATCGGGCTATTAATGTTAAATTAACTCAATTCTTTCGGTTGTCCGTTAATCTATCTATGTCTTTAGATTTAGACAAAAATTTAGTCAATTCATCAGGCCAGCCCCACTTACGGCAGCTAAAACTCCTATAATACTCTTCCGAATTATGTGTAAAAACTTTTATGGAAATGTAACCGATCGACCTGCTGACAAGCTGACAAAAATTTATGCAATTTTTATATTCAACTTATGTAGCGGGAATATAAGATATGCTACAAGTGTATATAGTTTTCTTAATTGTTTGCGTTTTCTTCTTTTTGTTTTTTTTCTCTTCCTTTAGCAACGCATTTTGTTATAACATGCATAACATTTTGTTATTTAAATGATATTTATCTCCGAGAGGTGCATATATTTAAGAAATGTTCATTTACATGTACTTCTGACGAATAGGCCAATGGAACTGAAAGCTACTTAAAATTCTCATTTCATTTAATATAACCCGAATGTAACATATTCGAGATAATGAAAATGCGTTCTAAGCGTCCCTCGTTAAGCGAAATTCAACTCTCAACAACATTTATTCAAGCGCATTTACAAAAGCGATAAATTTCAATTTTCTGTTTATCAAATCAAATTTAGGAGAAAAAAAGCTATCGATATATTATATTATTATGAAATTCCCTTATTCTAAGATAGGGCTCGCACCACTAGATCGTGGATATTCTTTTCAAGAGATATATACTTGAATGTTCTTTTATTTACAATTATATTCCTTAAGAGCAGGATTACTCGACATTTTTTATCTTGGCAATACTTTCGACTGCCTAACTCAAATATATTTTTTTCTACTTTGCCGCCGTCCACAAAAATTCTATTTATATACATTTTTACAAGCATATTACTATACCTAAATTCATGGCTTTATTTTTAATCCATTAACCTGCTTTTCCGCTAATCGTTTTCATCGGTCGGCAGCTGCGTGACGCGCTTGCGGATGTATATTTGGGTTTTCCCTCTTTAGGAATTTTATTATTTATGAAAATTAATTAGTTGGAAAGAACTGGATTTGGGTATTTCCGGAACGATATATTGGGATATAGAACTTTTCAAAGAACATGGCAGAGCTAACATTATAGCTTAATAGGAGCAAAGAATCTGCGTAACGCATTCAGGAATTGGGAAATATGCATTTTATGGTTAATTCAGCCTGTAGGTTGTACGTGGCCGATAGGCTTTCTGGCCAAAGCTCCATTGCCGAAACAAAAAGGCAGGGAAGCAAATAGGTTCAGAATAGTAGAAAATCAACGATCAACGACAAATAAATACAGAAGTAAGACCGGCTCGTAATTGAGCATAGCGATGCCTATGAGAATAACTTTATCTTTTCTTCACAAATATTCACGCCATACATTCGTTTACCGTAAGGTTGTAAAAGGATAGGCAGACATAAAAGGCCAAAGCTTAGTCACCTTTATAGGTTAACGGGCGGGATTCGACAAGATCTTGGGAAATTTCATCTACAAAATCATAGACAAATTTAAATTGTTTTAAGCCCTAGATATAACAAATACTGACTGCGTATATGGCAATGATTCAATGATGGTTAAGTGTGATACCATCGATTTAAGTTTAAGTCTCAACTGTGAGGAATTAATATCTTACCTTATCTTAAAAGTTCACTTAATAATCCCTAACCGAATTTAACTATATATATATATAAGATATGAAGCACATCGGCTATATCACGGGTTGATATACTGTTACATGCCATGATGTGTTAATTATTCAAATTAATATAATTAATGACCCGTAACAATAATTATTTTTATATAACGCGAATAACAGTAAGACAGACTTGGTTATGCTAATAACAGTAGTAGGCATCAGTCAGTGCGTGAAAGTAGAATACCCAATAACAAAATGAAATAAATAGAATAAAAAAATAAAATAAAAATAAAAAAAGCAAATAAAATAAAACGCAATTCATTTACATGACATATGCAATACAATATATATATGATGTTACGAGTCGACGTTTGCAGCACAAGTTAATTTGAATATCTATTACCGTATGAGAGCCAGACTATTATTTTCATATGGTTGACTTATAGAATTGCTTTAATTGCTTAATAAAATATTCAAGTGAATATTATTATCATTTGTTTACTTCAATTTAAATTAAACTATAATTATTTCATGAGATACATACATACACATTATTTTAAGGTTATTATGTCTTTATGTCGTTGGCGATTTTGAGTTGGAGTTGGTTTCGTCTTCTTCAAAGTCATCATCATTACCATCACCATCATCATCATCATCATCATCATCATCATCATCATCAGCATCATGATCATCATCATTAACGAAATTTTCAATTATTAGGGGTCGTTGCTCAAATAAAGGCAAAGCAGCTATAGTTTTACTCAACAAATGCATATTTAAACGTATAAATGTTAAATTTTCCAATGTTCTACCACTTGGGTCACCACTGTTATCATTCGTGAGTGATTTTAACAGAGAACATAGTGTTTTGATCTTTTGCGGTATCTAACGATAAAAAATTACTCTTTACACATACCTTTTATAATACACTGCATATACGTATATAGAGTCCTTTAACTTACCGGTGTAATTGGCATAGCAAAGCAAACAGAGCTCAATATATAGAGTTCGGGTTCGCTGAAATTTTGCTCTTGCCAAAACTGCAGCACATTAGTGTCGACCAGTTGAAAGGGTAATTTAAATTTTTCAATTTTCACATGCACATCGTCTACCGTTCTATCTCGGATCGGTATATCTTGGCTAAGAAACTCATTCAAGAAAGCATCTTCGTCGTCCAAAAGCTCTGTAGGTTGCCCTACCCGATTGTTGGCATTATCGCTACCAATTGGAATGCGCTTCTCTTCAATTGCGTTAGATTGAAAAACTTTGGCACGATTCCACAGCTGCTTCAGATACGAGATGGCCTCAAGTTTTTCTTGCAAAGTCAAAGTATGCTGAAAACGTGGATCTAAAAATAAACATGCGTACAAATGTTTATGGCGAAGTATCTCTTTGCTTCGATCTTCGAAACTTTGCAGTAAGAGAGTGATCAACTTTAAGCAAAATTTCTTCTTATTTCTATGTATCTCGTGCAATTTTTCTGTCATCAGCTTAGTTTTAAGCCATTGAGCATAAAAGTCGCCATAATGCACCTCCTCTTGACTGAACTTGATAATCGCCTTTTGAAGGGAACCCATTGCTATACAATACGATTCAATGAAACTCCATAGATCTTCGTTAAGATTAAATTTGTCTTCTTCTTGTTCGAGTGGTTCGAATTTAATATTTCTTAGTACAACGGCAGTGGCTTTTAAAGCTTCCATCATAACGTACGTTGAGCCCCAAACACAGGGTGAATCGACTTTCGGTATTCGCAGCTCTTTGCTTTCGAGAAGTTCGTAATAGCCATTACTCGGATTACTAAGAAATCGAGCCAAATTTCGGCATTCCAGAATATAACTGTAAACATCTTCATTTTTTATTACATCAAAGGCACACAGTTGCGCTATATGACCTAAGGGGCGGGAGATTTTGATGTCTTTGATTGCAATTTCGTTATACTCTTCAAACTTATCAATATAATCCATATACTCGGCATTGCTCATTTCGCTTCCATGCCAACTTGGTCTACTGTAATCACAAGCTGCGATAACTTGCTTCATATCGATATGAAATTTGTCCAGCAATTCTTTCAGCTTCTTCTCGATTTTCTCTGAGCTATTGATGTTGAAATCGATAATCCCTAGAATGTGCGCTGCCACTTGACCCTTGTGAACATATTGAGCAAAAACGCGTCGTATACCTGGTTTCGATTCTAAAAAACTCTCAAATTTTAATGATAACAATCTCCAAGTTAAATCGCTAGCAAAGCATTTCCTTATATAATCAGCCACTAAATCGACAGCGTGATGACATCTAATTTTCGTAATATGAAATTCTTTGCCCCCAAGATCAGAAATTGATTCGCATATGGGATTTAGCAATGCCTTCATGTATTTAGAATCAAAAATTTTTAGTGGCAAACCGTCGTGAACAACTAAACCCATCACAGCGTTGATCATAGTTGATTTCTCCAATTCAATCGGCAGACATCTGCGAGCTCTTTTCGCGGCCATTTCTTGATCTTCGAGCATTCTACGCTTCGCTACCTTTAGCAAATCTTTTATTTGCGATTCATCATACGGCTGGGGCGAACAATGGGGTAATTCTTCTGGCCTTGGTTCCAAATCAATGTTGTGCAATTTACGTAAATGTTGCCGCAAGTTATAGCTACGATTATTCCTTAAACGCTGTTGACAGGTTTTACACGTGGCAACACCTTCTTCTTTATTGTTATCGAAGTAAATCCAGATTTCGTTTGCCCTCGAATGCACCATTGTTGTTAGTTCTGCAATGTTTTTACTCTCAAAAACATCCAACAATCTACTCCTTCAAAGTCGCAAAATAAACTGAACGTAAAGCACGAGAGTAAGGATTGTGCTAAGGCTCTGTGAACAATATGCAGTAAATGCATTACTCAAAGAGAGGGCAGATACAGCAAGCATAAGCAAAGAGCAGACGAACTGAAGCACATTAGCTGTCAGCTGTTTATCTATATAGGTATATATACATTGCACTCACACCTTGGTAAAAAGTTCAGAGAGAAAGATGTTGAGCACACATGAATTTGTTTCGACTCGGTTAATTAAAAAAAATCAACAATCTGTTTCTTCAAAGTTGTCAAATAAACTGAACGCAAAGCACGAGAGTAAGGATTGTGCTAAGTCTCTGTGAGCAATATGCAGTAAATGCATTACTCAAAGAGAGTGCAGATACAGCAAGCATAAGCAAAGAGCAGAACATTAGCTGTCAGCTGTTTATCTATATATATATATATATATATATATATATATATATAT